GGTCCCATACAGCAGACCTATAAAGTGCTGCTGGCGCGTCTTCCAACTCCTGTTATTCGCCACAACAACTGATTTTTTTCCTGCTACACCCGGCTACGCTGCTTCGCTTCTTCTTCTTGTTTACTACTGGTGGTTGGCTTTGGTCGCAGTAGCGCCACCTTCTGCTCTGGAGTGTAAACGCTTCGCCTATGAGAAAAAGGAGCAGCGCATGAACCGAACGCAACACACGCGAACCGAACCGAACGGTTCGGACGGTTTTCATAAACCGTTCCATCCCTAGTAATATGTAGCCAACATTTGGAAGAAGAATGTTTTCAAGATGACTTGGCAGCTCTGGACAAACACCAGATAAAGCACTGGGACTTGATCAACAGCCGATACCGCACCGTGACGTCACTAACCAGTAGGTGGCAGTAGTGTTCTTTGACAAACATGGATGCCTCAAGTAAAGAACATGCAAATGAAAATTACTCTTATTTAAAAACACTAATCATTTATTAAACAGTATAATTTCATATTTGAAGAACTTTCAGAAGTTTGAATTCTGAATATGACCGGACTTTTCCTTTGAGGGTGAAACACTCAATCATCAATTTTACCTACTCAAATTAAGTGTAGAAACACTTATTTTAAGAAATGTTTACTCATTTTGCAGTGTGACCTGATTTGGGATCAGGGTTATGCCATCATCCAGTAGAACTTCTGGAGAACCTTTGTTCCCAATCCAGAGCTCCAGTTAGACTGAAATGAGCAGAAATGAATCCTGCTAATAACCTCAGAGGAGGAGTTTGCTTCTCCTGGATGGACCATGATAAGATGGGAGCGCCGGTTCCTCTCAGACGGATCAGTGTTCCACCTGTTGTAGGAAATTTGACCAAAGAGGAAATGAAGCATCCAGATTTAAGTCCTCAAACCGTTATTGGGAAGTTATTCTCCTTCTATGGAAGTTGTTCCATTCAAAATGTTATTTTCAATATAAAGACATAATGCTAAATCCTGCATCTCTCCAGTTTTCTATCTACTTACTGATTTTCTTCCTGACAGGAATCTCTAACTCTGTCTGGTAGCAGCTCAAGGAAGAGATGCAGCTTCTATTTATGAGTAAAATTTCTTATTTTCACACTCGGATAGTGTGCTGCTCTGACCTTTAACCTCAGACTTACCTGTGATGCAGACAGCAGATCAGGGGAGTCCAGGTTTCAGGACATTTCAATGATATTGTTGCACAAAGCTTTGCCTCCCTATTTCTGCTAACTTCCAATTTACGTAATCATGAGTGCAGATGTTTTAAAACTGCAAAAACTGATATAAAGTTCAACGAAAAATTCTTAAAATAAATTATTTTCTTTTAATTTGAGCAGGTAAATACAATGTTTTATAGTATTTTGACAATAGAATAAAAAAAAATTAGATTATGCACTTCCAAGAAGATAATTAGGTGGATTTTTCTCATCGTAAACTTAAATCCTCTAATTTCATTGGAAAGTTTCTTACTTACTGGTTCAAAACAAGGGAAAATACACTTATTTTATGTGGCTTTTGTTATGACTTATTTTTAAATTTTTTCAGTGTAAAGAGAGCAGGATAATATCTGAGGATGGTTCTGGACATTGGAAGGTTTCCTTTCTTAGAAATGACATGGCTGAATCCTGGGGAGTTAAAAAACCCAACATGTGTTAAAAAATCGGTTCAGTTGGACTCCTAAAGATGTTTGCATGAAGAATTGGATGAAATAACACCTAAAACTCTTCATTGCTCGGTTCCTTCTGAGCCCAGAACGCTCAGAGGTGGAATCGGGTCGGGAACGTCAGGAAAACCTGGACCCGGATCCATCATTACCACTAAATGAAACAGAGATAAGAAATCATGACATATTTTAGCTTCATTCTTAGTAAAGGATGATAAACGATCAATGGAAACATCCAGAACCTTCTTTAGATATCAGCTTTAGTTGCTAATTGAGTTCTAGAAGAATTTTGGAGTCATGAAGGAACCCAGAGTCTAAAGGTTTTAATCCTGAATGTTCTGGTTTTTTTTGGTGCCGCCCAGATGATGCTCGGATCACATCGATTTATCATTTCCACCAAACTAGACGTTGCTGTGATGTTCGAGTCTCTAACTGATGTTTTCCTTCAGGTCGCTTGGAGGTTTGTCTGATGGGGTGTCAGGACCTGCTGGAGTCCGTTCCGGGTCGCAGCGCCTCCCCCTTCTCCCGGCACTTAGCGGATGGGAGGTCGGTGAAGGTGAAAGGTTCGGGACGGAGTGCCAACGGGAAGACGGGGAAGTCGGATGAACTTTCCTGTAAGGGAATCCTGCAGTTTCTGAGATGTTTGCTCTGGAGGTTTATGGATGATGGTTCAGTAATGTTAATGGTGGTGATGATGTTTAGATTTTTTTTTTTTCCTTTCCATTGTATGAAGCAGAAATGATGGAGAGGAAGTTTTTTATAATAAAAACTTCTGCTGGAAAACATTCTGGATGAATGCTGTTTCACTAAGGAGGTTTTCCTTCCACCAAGTTTCCCTGATCCAACCAGCAAATCAGATTTTTTTTACATTTTCTTTGTTTAATGTTTCCAAAATAAAACCAATCATCAAGCAGCATCTCCTTTAATGTCAGTTGGTAAAAAAAAATCAGGATTTTGTTTGTTCCAAATTTGGAAAACTTGTTTTATTGCTTTACTTTTAGTCTGATCCAAACTCCCTGCAGACCCTGCAACACGTCTTTCCCTCCTGGTTCTGGGTTTTTTTTTTTTCCAATGTGAAAGAAAAGTTTGGATGTTTAAGTGGTGAGGAATGAAATCCGGATCAGTTCTCACCTTCTCCCTCATATTTGCTGTGTTTCAGCTGAGGTCAGCGCCGTGCTGAAGGTGGACAACCGGATCGTGGGTCGGACTCACTGGAGGCCGCAGGGAAAGGAGGCCTGGGGTCAAAACTTCACCACTGAGCTGGAGCGGGTCAGTTGTCTGTGTTTTGGATGATTGATCATCGTTTTGGATTTATAAAAACATTTTTTAAGGGTTCTGTGCTTATTGGTCTGAATCTGGATCCTCGGTTTGACATCCAGTGAAACTAAAGACGACTTTTATGGTTTGATTAAATTTAGGAACCTCAGTCAGATCTCAGACGACAAAACTGAGAAGAACTAAACTTCTTATTCAAAGTGAAACTAGTTGGAAGAGATTTGAACGTTTCCCAGATTCCCTCAGAAACCTGGAATCAGGATCCCAGGTTTCTGAGGGAATCTGGGAAACATTCAGACATCTCAGCAGATGTAAGTTTAATAAGAACTTCCTCTAGGATCTCTTCTTAACATGTTCACTCTGGAAGTCGGGGTAAGAACTCAAAAACGGTTCCTAAATAAAATCTTCAGAGCTGTTTTTTTTCATCTTTTTGTTCAGTTCCAGTCACACTCAGAAGATGTCCAAAGCTGATAGAGACAAGCCTGCAGACATTTGTGACATTTTTTTTATGTCCTCCTTTATAAAACATCTCCAGCTCAGTTAGATTGAACATCTGCAATCATCAAGTCTGTCCACAGACACTCAGCTGCATCACTGACTGGCAGCAATTACCCAGAAGGAAAACCTTCTGGCTGCAACTTCCTTTTTAAAGTAAAACATATGTAGGATATCTTGCATTTTCTTAGATTACATTTCATCAACTGCTTTTTCACTCCATAACACATCACCAAAATAAAAATCTGACCAAAATGCAATTTTCCTCTAGTGGGTTTTTCTTTTTTGTTACATCTTTTTCAAATATCTTTTGTTGAAACATGATCATATTTTTACCTTTGGGAATAAACGCTGACGACATAAGCTGTGAAAAGTTATTCCCAACATGGTAAGTTCTAGATCCTCGAAGGTTCAACAGCAACGGGAGATGTTTTTTGATTTCTCAGAGATATAAAGTGTGGAGAAACCATACATCTCCACAGACGCATGGCCCGTTGATACAGCTGGTACAGCTACACCTTATGGACAAAGGACATTCTTTTGAGGACCAGAATGTTCACATTTTGGACAAAGAGGACAGGTGGTTTGAGAGGGGTGTGAGGGAAGCCATCTATGTTAAGAAAAAACAAACTTAAACAGAGGGGGTGAAGTCAGATTTCCACTTTCAAAAACCTACAGTTGATTGAGTTGATTCCTACAGAGCCCCCTAGGGGACATAGGGAAGTTTTTTCTTTTGCGTTCCTTCGCAAAACCTTTTGCGTGAGAACGCAAAACCTTACTTCGGTCAAGTTAGAAAGATATTCACAGATTCAGACTTCCGGGATCAATAACTCTCGTTGTTGAAACACAAATGGCACAAATTACCATTTGCAGACGGTCCCTAACCACTCGCCTGGCCGCTGCCTGTGCATAGAGATCAATGTAATACATCCAGCTCGGAGAACGGCTCGTTTTTCTCAAAATTAACGCTTTTTGATTCTTGTAATACGTGGTCTGTGCTATGAGGACACGAAAGAGGCGCCATTTGTGTTTCAATAACGAGAGTTATTGATCCCGGAAGTCAGAATCTGTGAATATCTTTCTAACTTGACCGAAGTAAGGTTTTGCGTTCTCACGCAAAAGGGTTTTGCGTGGGAACGCAAAACTTTCACAAAAGGTTTTGCGAGGTAACGCAAAAGAAAAAAAAAATTCCCCATGTCCACTAGGGGGCTCCGTAGATTCCCACTATCATCCAAACCCCCATCCCACTACAGGGGAAAAGCACACATCTCGCCTGTCAGCCAGGCCAACAATCCCCTCTAACGACCCCCCCTTTCAGAGACATAGACAGGTATTGGGTATTACAGGGTAACAAAGAGACCAAACGAACTCCATTCCAAAGACGTGGAACCGTTTGTCTGGTTCAATTTGCATGTTTTCCAAGACAAAACAAGGCTTTGTTTTTGGTCCACTGTATAAAGCCTTGAAATCACTAATTTTGAAATTTTGAATTAAAAAATCTTTCTGGATGAGAAGCGAAACGTCTTCAAACTTGGGCACAAAGTCCAGTGAATAGTTTTTATTTTATTTTTTTACTTTTTTTGAATGATTATGACCTGGATGACAGAATCTTCACCAGCAAATGTCTGGAATGTCTGAATACTTTTTTTTTATAGTGTTGCTGCTGTAGAAATCATCATTCTGACCTCTGGAAGTCCGAGTTATTGTAAAATTTGCTGGAATCCAGTTCCACATTTCCCTAATGAGATGCTGCCATGTTTTCCTGTACTTGATCCTCATATCTGAACTGTGTGTTTTTCCAGTCCAGGGAACTGGAAATCGCTGTGTACTGGAGAGACTGGAGGGCTTTGAGCGGGGTGAAGTTCCTGCGGCTCGAGGACTTCCTGGACAACCAGAGACATGGAATGTGTGTGGAGCTGGAACCTCAAGGGATCCTCTTCATCGAGGTTCGGTTCTTTCGCTGTTCCACTCTAAACTTGGGCCGGTCCACATAGGAACAGACCTGGGAATGTTCCTTTGATGATTATTAGAGATGGCACCAATGGAGACAAATCCGATCAGAGTCCGTCTTCAACCCGGTGTTCTGATAGTTCTTATAAACTCTTTCTCTCTGCAAAAAAAAAAAAGAAACGATGCAGTTTATCACCGTCTCTTGAGTTTAACGACTGAGGATTTCAAATACATCACTGCACTTTGTATACTTCAGGGAAATGTCTCTGACCGACTGCAGACTTTTTTACTGACTGTTTTTTTTTTTTAAATTATTTATAAATTAAATTTAGGGGTATCTTCCTTCGTTTACTTGTGTTCAGTTCTGACTAGAACCTCAAGTTATTATGGCTTTTTTTTCTCAGGACATTACTTTGATGAAGGTCCCAAAGCTCAAAATTAAATTGGGTAAAAAGGCTTTTAAATTTTCACCTGGCATCATTTCCAGGTGGATTTACAGTTATCCTCCATAGTCGCCTTGGGGAAATTTAAATACATTTTAAAGTCCAGATAAAGTACTTGGTTACTGCAGCTACCCTAATGTTTAAATTGATTATATATACTTTTTGTATTTGTCTTGTATTTTGGATTTTTTTTATGTTAATCCTGCTGTTCTGGCCAGGATACTTTTGGAAAATACATTTCTAATCGGACTTTTCTCCCTGTAAAAATAAAGGATACATCAGAGATGGGTAGAGTGCCCAAAAACCTGAGTAAGAGTAGCACTAACTACTTTAATATTTCTTAACTCGAGTAAAAGTACAAAAGTATTCAGGAGAAAGGCTACTTTATTGAATACTAAAAATCAGATTTAATGTCAATAAACTATGCTGGCAAACAGACTTTATGTGCAAGTCCTGGTATTTGAAAGATTTAAATCCCTAAAGAATACAGATAAATGTCATGAATATACAAGAACAAATTCATGCAGAAAAAAATACTTACAAAACAATCCTTACAATGAGAATTGTATAAATGTTAGGACAGGATAAGGAACTTTCACTGCTAATATTGACTGTACACCTGATTGTGGAATAGTTCAAATCACTCACAGTAGTCGGATATTTTACTCAAGTAGGAGAAGCAATATTTAACAAGAATATTACTCAAATAAAAATAAAAATTATGGCACAGTAAAACTGCTCCTAATAGTATATATTTTTCAAGTAAATATAACTAATTACTCCCCACCTCTGGGATGCATTCAAACAAACAAGATCACATCGTCTGCATAGAGTGTAATTGGGTATTTCTCCACGTTTCTAATCAAGTAGAAATAATCTACAACCTGAATGATAAATTTTAATTACTTTTCTTTTTTAACAAATCTTTTCATGTATACATTAGATTAAGCTGATTGGTGGCAATGTTGCCACACAACAAGCAGGTCAAATGTTTAAATGTAGGTGTTGCTGATGGAAGTGTCCACGTTGGTTTCTTGCCACTGTCAAAAAATTATTAATCATTTATTATTTATTTTTATTCTTTTCCTTGGGTATGAGTTGTTTTTCTTATGTCTGTGTTGCCTGAGATGAACCAGTGACCAATCCTGGGGTCTTCGCCTTTATTCTGTGACCACTGGAGTGGTCCCCCCCCATTCCCTCTCTTGTGGTTGAATTTCTAAAACGATAAAAAGGCTGAATGATTGATTAAATGTTTGATTTTAGCTCCTGAATCCTCCAGTTTTATCCTTTATTTCCAGGTCACATTCATCAATCCTGTCATCGACCGTCCGTCTAAACTCCAGAGACAGAGAAGGATTTTCCCAAAGGAAAAAGGTGGGAATTGTTTAATTAAATTCCATGAATAACTCCTGTTGTTTTCAGAAGTTTTTTTTTTTTTTTTTGGTAAATTTTCTCCTTTTATCTTTTGAAAAAATCCATGTCTGTAAAATATTTTCCCACCAACTTTGTTATTTTGCTAAAGTTAAAAAGACGCTCATGAGGAAAGAACCCATCATCTCCTGATTGGTGAGAGAAATAAGTTCTGGTACGGACTTTCCAGAACTACAGGTCCCAACATTTAGCTGATGCTGCTTTAATGCCCTGATCTTTTAGAGCTTTCTAGAACTACCTTATGGTAGCTTTATTAATGTTATGCTGCATCAGATCCAATATCTGCAGAAGGTTCGTCGTCAGGTTTTCCAGTGAAATTCCAAAATCCTTTTAGGACTTTTTTTAAACAACCATGAGTGCTTGAGGACTCTAGTCCATCTAGGAAAAACCTTCTGGGACTCGTATCCAAAATGGCCTCTTTTTGATTCATTCCTTCAGGAAAGAACTTCCTTCGCGCCGCTCAGATGAACATGAACTTTGCTACATGGGGCCGTCTGATGATGAGCTTCCTGCCTCCCTGCAATTCCCCGGATGCCATGAGTCCTCCGTTACCGGCTCCTGACTCTGGCTCGACATATTCCAGCGGTTCTCCAGCCCGGTGAGAGTCTCAGACGTCTGCAGGAACGTCTTTAAGGAGCAGCAAGGAGGATCTTGTCTTGGTTTTGGTTGCTGTCTAGTAAAACAGTTTTCTTTCTCAGAGAACATACTGGAACCAGGCTGAATTTTTCTGAAGAACCAATCGGTAGATCTCCACGTCCATCAAGGAAGGAGACGAGAGAGTCCTCACAGGTCTGAGCGAAGAGGTTTAAAGTTCAAACTGTGGAGATGATCTTAATGATGATAAGGCAGACATTTCTGAACTGTTTCTCTTTTCAGGAAAAGTCTCCTGATTGGAAAAGCAGCCTGAAACCCAGAAGACAAGCATCAACACGTCCTCCTCAACAGTGAGTGTAATTTAACCGTGTGTTGATTGATTCTGACCATTAGATGGCGCTACAGTCTCATCCTGATTCAGTTAAAATATCTTTTTTTTTTCAATAATTTCCATCACTGTACTGCAACTTATGCATTAGATACATGTTTCCTGCTTTTCCGTCCGTCCATCTCAGTGAACATGAAAACGTGCTTCACATTCATCCGTTCATATTCATTCTCTCCTGTGAAATCCCTTAACTAGATTTGTTTAAATTTTAGTATATGTCAGCTAAAACATTACAGTAATTAAGTCAATATCAACATAAATATACTAATGTTAGATAAGATTAAAACGGCTCATTCTGTTTCCAGAAATAGCCTTTGTGTTTTATGGGGAAGAAGGGAAACACAGGTGTATACAAAAGGAAATTTAGTTTTGTACAGCTCTCAGGACATTTCCATTTCTTAAATTGCAGCAGTGATCAAATGTAAACATTGGGAGAAAAAAACATGGTGCAAAAAAATGCATTGATATGGTCAGTTTGATGCAGACATTGTGACATGATTTACAGTTTTTCAGTTTTCTTTTATTATGGTGGTGGGAAAGAAGCAGTTTTGGAATCTGCTGGACCTGCTTTGAACGCTGCAAAGCCTCTTCCCAGAGGGCAGCTCTGCAGTTATGAGTCTCTGTCGTCATAAAGGAGCTTTCTGTAAAACTAGAGATAAAGATCAAGTTCTCAACATATTTGGTTCGTTAAGGATGCAGAACCATAACTGCTTTAGACAACATAAATAAATAAATGTTGGTTTAGATTTAATATTAAGGGCTTCATGAAAATCTAGTCTCTCCACTGGTTTATTTAGAACATATGTCTTCAACAGGGGGTCGCGACCCCTAGGAGGTAGTGCATGGGGGTCGTGAAAGTTTTGGATGATTAGACTTTTTATTTTTATATATATTCCCCCCTGCAATTTTTTTCCACTAATTGAAATGTTTTTAAATGCACATTAACATGAATTAAACACACTGTAGTAAACAGATAAATTGAGGCAGAAGATGTCTTTCAGTCATCAATGCTCACATTCAGCGACACACAGGAGCTCTTTCAAGCTGGGAACCGTTTCATTCACAACACCTGTCCCATCAACCAGGAATCAGAATCAGAAATACTTTAATAATCCCAGGGAGGGATTACTTTAGTTACATTACTCTATCTGTAATACAGTGACTATAGGACCAGTTTGATATGACACATTTTCATACAATATATAAAAAATAGGGGGTCCCTGCTCCATCTCGCCATCAGTTTTGGGGTCCTCTGCTTGGAAAATGTTGCAGACCCCTGATTTACGACATACAGAAGATTTGCTCATTCATTTTCCAATTGGTACAATGTGATTAGTTTAATCTGACCCTAAACTGGTTTTGAGGTCTCTCCGTTTTCCAGCCCCCCCCTCAGTGATCACTGGTCCCTGCCTGGGGACTACCATGATCATTTTCTGGCTCTGCAAGCACTTATACATCCAGGAAGGTGACTGTTTAGACTTCTACCTGTGGGGGGCGCTACAGAGGGCTATTAACAAAAAAGCAGCCATAGAAATGGATTCTTCCTCCAGACTTGTTCTCTGGTGGATTAACTTCTCCATAGGATCCTTCTGCTCTTCGTCTGTGGAGAACCTATAGAAGAATCTCATCAGAAACTTATAGGAATGAAGCTCAAAGAGTACAGAAGGAACATGTTTCTTACTTTAAGAAATTTAGAGAACATTAGTCATAATAGAATAGAAAATCCATTTATTGTCTCACAATGGGGAGATTCTGGTGTTTACAGCAGCAAAAAAGATTATAGAAAAAAATGGTCACACAAATATGGTC